CGTTGATGATGTTATTATTACTTGATGCGATGTGCACGAAATCTTATCATTGAAATAATTTATTCAAAATCAATTCAACACTAAAAATCTGAGTTCCTGAAAGTACTTCTTGGGCAATGAGATATCAAGGAGCAAGAAGAGTATAATTTTATCTCAACGGAAGTATGTAATGGATTTGTTAGCAGAAACTATGAAATTAAGGATCAAGTCATGCAGTACTCTGATACTTCCTAATAAGCAACTTACTAAGGATTGAGGGCCCTTTAATGATCTTGAACGGTATAGGAAGTTAGTGGATAATTAAACAACCTCACTATAACTCGGCCTGACAGTGCATATTAAGTTAGAACAATAAATCAATTTATGTCTTCCCCCATAGTACATCATTGGTCAGCTTTGGAACAAATACTATATTACCACAAGAACTCCTACACAAAGTATTTTATATCAAGATTGTGGGCACTAAATATATTGAATATTACTCTGATGTGGATTAGGCAAGTTTCAAGATTGATCGAGCATTCATTACTAGATATTGTATCCTCATTTGTGTCAATTTTGTCTAATTGATAAGTAAGAAACGGAATGTAGAGTCGCGGTCCAGTGTTGAATCTGGGTACTGAGCAATGGCACGAGCTTCGAGTGGATTGATGTGGATTTCCCAACGCTTGACCGAAATGAGTTTTAAAATGACAGTTCCAACAAAGTTGTGATGTGATAACCAATCTACAATTCACATTACCTCAAATTGTGTCTTTCATGAACAAACTAAGCACATTGAGATAGATTGTTGGTCTGTTCGCGAAAAGATTCAACTGAATCTATTTTCTATAGCTCATGTAAAGACTGGCGACAATTAAGGGATATCTTCACAAAAGCCCTTAATGGAGCTAGGATCACTTATATTGCTGTGTTGGAGCCTGATCCTGATCCCGCCTCCCGCCTTCCAATCCCGCTCCCGTCGCGACCGCAGTCTGCTCCCGCCTCCAGTTCGTGAAACGCCGCCTCCGCTAGTTCCTGTTTCGCGAAGCGAAGATTCGGTTCACCTCCCGCCTCTTCAGTCGAGAACAGTAGGCGCCAACATCTCCCGCCTTCCTTTTTTGTGAAGCGAAGCATCCCTTCGCTCCCTCCTCTTCACGATAAAAGGCATCGCACGCAAGGCTCTCCTTTAAGTTTTGAAGCACGACCTTTTGTTCTTCTTTGGATTTCCACGGGACAGTGGAAGGACTTCCACAGGAGAGTGGAAGAGAAGCGCAAGAAATAGTTCTTTGCGACATAAGAAAGAAAAAATAAGAAGAAGATTATTCTCCCTTGACTTCTTCTTGGTGGCTTGTGACAGAAGAGAACTTGGGTTTATTTTGTCTTGTAAGTTTGTCTTCTTCGGTGTATCTCGATGTAGAGAGAGAAGAACAGAGAGAGAATAAGAGAGAGCAACGAAGTGAGAGATTCTTCTTGTAAGTCGAGACGATCGACTGGTGTAAATTCCTCAAGTAGTAAAATCATCTGCAACTCCGTAGACGTAGGCAATTTGTCGAACCACGTAAATCTGTGTGTTCTGTTGTGTTACTGTTTTCTAGTGTGAATTTGCTCGTTCTATTTTTTGCTTCATCAAAGATCGTTCTTTTATTTTATTTTTATATCTCACATCAACTGGTATCAGATCTTTGTTCAGATCTGATGAAGAATGATGGTTGCAGATGAAGTAAATGTTTCAGGTATCGAGAAATTTAATGGCACAAATTTTAGTTATTGGAGAATGTAGATTAAGGACTACCTTTATGGGAAGAAATTTTATCTTCCGTTAGTAGAAAAAAGACCTGAAAGGATGGATGAGGGTGAATGAAAATTGTCGGATTGACAAGTTCTGGGGGTTATTCGATTAACCCTATTGAGGTCCGTTGCACACAACGTCGTCAAGGAGAGGACGACTGTATATCTCATGGCAGTCTTATCAGGTATGTATGAAAAGTCATCGGCAAATAACAAGGTGTATTTGATTAAAAAGTTATTCAATTTGAAGATAATGGAAGATGTTTATGTTACTCGACACTTGAATGATTTCAATACTATCACAAATCAGTTGTCGTCTGTTGAAATTGATTTTGATGATGAGATACGTGTACGTGCATTGTTGGCATCATTGTCAAATAGTTGGGAAGCCATGAGGATGGCAGTTAGCAAATCTGCAGGTAAATCTAAATTGAAATATGATGATATTCGTGATTTAATTTTGGCTGAAGAGGTGCGCAGAAAATATTCTAGTGAGATCTCAGGTTTGAGTTCGGCACTGAATGTTGATTTCAGAAAGAGATAGCATGACAGGAACTCAAATAGAGGGAGATCAAAATCAAAGTCTGGCCAACAGACAACCTGTTAGAATTGTGGCAAGGGTTATCATATAAAGAGGAACTGCAGGAATCCCAAGAATATGGAGAATGGTATCACAAATGTGATATCTGAAGAAGTACATCATGCACTATTGCTAGCAGTTCATAGTATTGTTGATAATGAAAGTGAAGAAGAGAGTGGGTCCGGGGCACCCATTCCTATTGTTCCACAGACAGATGGTGGAGAACCACAGAGCTATGAAAAATCTTGCAAGATGAAATTTCGAGCAAGTGAGAGCTGACAAAAGTTCCACAATGGAAGAAGACATTACACAACAAGTGGGTGTACTGGGTGAAGATTGAACTTGATGGAAGTAAGAGGTACAAAGCTAGATTTATCAAAAAAGGCTTTCAACAAAGGTAGGATATTGCCCATTCAGTGTAATTGTAAGCAGAGACAAGAGTAATTCAGGAAATAGCTTAGAGGTGCAAAGCTATGTTGACTGAGGGTGTTACTCTTGAGAAACTGAAGTTGTGCACAGCTTCAGTTGGTCTTCTGGTGAGAAGACAGAGGCTTTGAGTTACAGAGGTGGAGGATTCATGTTTGAATAAAAAGTCGACACCGCCAGTAGAGGATATTAGTATGGGGAAGGAGATGTTATTGTCTGTGTATCAATCTCCAAGTGGGAGATTTGTTGTGTTGGAGTCCGATCTCAATCCCGCCTCTCGCCTTCCGATCCCGCTCCCGTCGCGACCACAGCCAACTCCCGCCTCCAGTTCGCGAAACGTCGCCTCCGCTTACTCTTGTTTCGCGAAGCAAAGCTTCGGTTCGCCTCTCGCCTCTTCAGTCGCAAACCGTAGACGCCAATCGTTCTCGCCTTCCTCTGTTGTGAAGCAAAACATCCCTCACTCCCTCCTCTTCACGATAAAAGGCATTGCACGCAAGGCTCTCCTTTTAAGTTTTGAAGCACGACCTTTTGTTCTTCTTCGAATTTCCGCGGGACAGTGGAAGGACTTCCATGGTAGAGTGGAAGAGAAGTGCAAGTAGTTCCTTGCGGCAGAAGGAAGAAAAAAAAAAGAAGAAGATTGTTCTCTCTTGACTTCTTCTTGGTGGTTTGTGGCAGAAGAGAATTTGAGTTTATTTCTCTTGAAAGTTTGTCTTCTTCGGTGTATCTAGGTGTAGAGTTTCTTTGGTGTATCTCGGTGTAGAGAGAGCAGAACAAAGAGAGAAGAAAATAGAGCAACGAAGTGAGAGATTCCTACTGTAAGTCGAGACGGTCGACTGGTGTAAATTCCTCAAATAGTAAAATCCTCTGCAACTCCGTGGACGTAGGCAATTTGTCGAACCACGTAAATCGGTGTGTTTCGCTGTGTTACTGTTTTCTTGTGTGAATTTGCTCGTTTTATTTTTCGCTTCATCAAAAATCGTTATTCTATTTTATTTTTATATCTCACATCATATATTTATACCAAGTTGGGCATGATAAATATCTATACTCCAGTTTGTGTGGGAGTGTTATGGAAAGCAATAAATCATAAGTTAGATATTAAGAAGTTTATGTATTAGAAAATTTAATATTAAATAGCCAAATTAGACAATATCTAATCATAGGATCTTCTCTATATTAAAGTTATTTGTAATCTAGAGAGTTGTGAGTGTGTATAAACATGCAATATATGTTTTCACTTGTAAATAAGAAAAGAGGAAGTTTTATAGTCACACTCCCCAGCCAGCTACAAGTGAATTACCCTAACAAAACTTGTATGGCTGGTGATGGTGGACAGAGAAGACTACTCTTGTGAAGAGGGCAATCTGAGAAAAAATATTAACAACCATTAGTGTTGAGGTCCACCTTTTGGATCTCCACACCTTGGGATACTGCCAAGCATGTAAAGTTTGTAGGGTTTAGAGATAAATATTATATTCATGGACAATGCACCGTTATTATGCTTGATGTGACAGCCCATCGTACAATATTATATCCAACATGGAAAAAAAATCTATGCTCAGTTCATGAGAACATTCATGTTGATTTTTGAGGAAACAAATGATGTAAAGAACAGACAAGTGAAGGTAAGAAGAACCTCCGATACAATGAAATCCAACCCAATGCAACTTTAATTTTTGAGATATCATTCCTTAATCCTTAATCTGGCTAAAGAACTTGTTGGGGATCCCCCGTTCTTGCTCCTCCTGAAGTTCAATTTAAACTTGCTCAGTAACAACTCTATGAGAAAGGCTTATTGGTGCAATTTCTCAGTCTCTTCCTGATGATGATGAGCAATTTGATTAATGGTCCCTAATCTATGTAAGCTTATAATAGATCATATAAGCTTTTGCAGTGTTTAGGAGAGAACTACATACTTGCAGTTTAACCATCCTTTTTTAAGCTGACTTGTAATCGAGTTTAAGAGATTTTGTTGAAAACTTTTGTTCTCAAAAAGAAAAAAGCCGAGAGGTATTCTTCATCCATCCCATCTTCTTCTTGCAACATATTATACTGTCACCATTTGATTGTTTAATTATTCATTTTTTGCAGTGCTTAATGTTTGGATTTCAATTGAGAAAGATTTTCCAAAAAGGCTTTGCAGACAAAGTGACAAGAACATCAATAATACACATATGTGCACAAATGCGGCTTAGGAGAATTAGAGGTTGACAAAAGCGGTTACCTCATTACGAACACCAGGAATAAGATCTCCTAAACATTTAATGATGTCACCAACAGCACTTGTTCGGTCCTCTGGTGTTTTGAGTGATGAGTGAATTTTAACATGAGCACCAGCAGCACAGCTATCTTTATCCAGCATAAATGTAAATACGCCTTGAAACTTTTTAAGATGCTTGATAAAGCTGTGAGCCAGTTTAGATCAATGTTAAAACAAAGATAATCTATGAAATTCAAAGCCTCAACATGTCTGCGTTTCTTAACATTAGTATTTGACATTTTTTTCTTCTCAGGCGATTAAAATTTCATGATAAGGGCAAACTTACCCTTCGTGTACGCACCCAACAACTTCGTCCTCGACAAGAAACGGAACGAACTGGGTCCGCAAATCCTGCAAATCCCATGAATTATATCATAAAAATACAACCACATCTAACTCGTCCTTGACTACATTTCAGAAAAGAAATTTCCTCAGGTTCATTAAAGCCTCAAAATCGACAGCTCGCCCTACTGAACAATGGGGGAAGTAGGGGGAGAATTACGGATCCACGATTGCAAGTTTGTAATCTCTGGAAGTATCCTCGGAGATCGGATGGATCGTCGTCATCACGCTCGGCTGCTCGGATTACATCATCCCACCCGAAGCCGGCGACCGGCAGGAACGCCTGCAGTCGATTGACCATGGATCGTGTGCATGCTGGCTTCAAGGGTTTCGCTACCCGTATTCCGACGCCAAGGCGGGTTGAAGGATAGCTTCGGAGAGCAGCGAAAGCGATGGGAGAGTAGCTAGAAGCCATGATCTGCTCATGAGCTTGCTATGGTAATACGTCCCATTGCCGCCCTTCAGCTCATCTAAATTCCCCATAAACCACCAATTGTTATTAAAAGGCTCAAAATTATAAGCATTATAAGTAGGGCTGTCAAAAAAGCTCGTTGTTCGCGAACAGTTCATGTTCGGTTCGTCAATGAGTTCGTGTTCGATTCGTTCGATAAGTAAACGAGACAAACGCGAACAAATTTTTTTCGTTCGCTTAGTTAAACGAACCAAACACGAACAGTGATGCGTTCGTTCGTGTTCTAATCGTTATTGTTTGAAATATAAAATAATATAAAATAATTATATATAAAAAATTTATTATATTTTAAAACATTAAGTTTTATAAATTATAATATATAATAAAATAATAATAATAATATATTAATATACTATAGTAGTAATATACTAATATAGATATTG